GGGATTCAGGGTATGGCACCAAATTACACTAGTTAGAGGCTTATAAGGCATAACCCACAAGGGTAGTACTTTCTGTTTTCATCAGGGACAAGTATACATCCTGATGTACTTCCTGCCTATGTACCTCTCTGATGTAGGATGCCCTCTGTATGCTGTGACTATGTGTTTCTCTTATTGGCTGATGAAGAAAGCTTATTCAGCCAATGGCCAGGCAGATTATACCTCGGCTGGAAATCAAAACAAAGATAGGGAGAGAGAGAAGATGGAGTCAGAGAGTTGTCATATAGCCTCTGGGGAAGCAAGATATGAGGTAACAAGCCATGAGCCTCATGGTAAAATATAACGTAATAGAAATGGGTTAATTTATAGTTAGAGCTAGCCAGTAAGAAACCTGAGCCATTGGCCGAACAGTTGTAGCTGAAATTAAGCCTCAGACTGGTTGGTTATTTCATAAGTGGTTGCCGGGACCAGGTAGGCAGATAGATCCAGTCCAGCAGGATAACGGGATGGAGAAAAAACACCATCTACACCTCCTGAAACTTACGATCAAGCACATCCTGTTAGTTGGAACCACCAAGCTTGTTTACAGAAGCGAAAGCATGTGGTTTGTTACTCTTGGGGAACAACAGGCCCCCAGCATTCCTGGAAGTCGTCAAAGGGCAAGTGGGATTTACAGGTTAGAGGCATGCTTGCTTTGCAGATCTCTGGAGTGTGGTAATTTAAACATAAAACATAGTTTTAGCCCTCACAGTCCAGTTCACAATCATCTTAGTTACTTCTTCTGTTCCTGGGATAAAATACCCTGACTACAGAAACTTAACGTAAGAAAGGTTTTACTCGGGCTGGAGAGATGGCTCAGAGGTTAAGAGCATTGCCTGCTCTTCCAAAGGTCCTGAGTTCAATTCCCAGCAACCACATGGTGGCTCACAACCATATGAAATGGGGTTTCCTCTTCTGGCATGAAGGCATACATACAGACAGAATATTGTATACATAATATTTAAATAAATATTTTTTTTTTAAAAAAGAAAGGTTTTACTCTGGCTCATAATTCACAGTGAGGTCCCTCAGGGTGGGGCAAGAGGTCTTAATGCTTGAAGCAGCTCTTCACATCAGATTCACAACCAGGAAGCAGAGAGCAATGCATGTACCAGCCTTTTCACCATTTACAGTCGGGGGGGGGGTGTCCCAGCCAGGGGTCAATGCCTCCCACAGTGGACAGATCTTCCCATCTCAGTTCAGAGAATCGAGGTGATCCTTGCCCTGAGCCCCTCTTCCCCAGGAGATTCTAGATCTTATCAAGTAGACAATTGAGATGAACTGTCTTGGTGACTTTGGAGCTTGGTCTGTTTATCTATTATCCTATATAATTTGCCTTGCAGAATTATAAGAGATCATTTTCTCAGAAAGTAATTGTTGGGGACTGTGGATCCCAAGACCCTGAATTTTTCTGTAAACGACTTATTACGCTTGCAGCTGCTCTGAGCAGGAGACCCTCAGGAGTTCCTGATGGCAGGGGAGTGGTTTCTGGTAGGTTTTGGCTGGGGCATGGCTATCAGTTAAAGATCCCTATATAAGCTGCCCTGGAACACAATAAAAGGGGCATTCTTGGGGAATTCAAGGATGACCCTTGTCTCTGTATGTGTCTCTGTGTGTGTATGTTTCAATCTCTGGGCCCCTTGCCTGATGAACCTGGTACACTACAGGTGTAATACCATAGTACACGTAGTACAGGTGCTACAGGACCGTAGTATACGTGGTAGCTCGGATGTTACAAGTAATAGATTTTCATAACATACTGTTTATTGGAATTTGTGCATGTACCTAGCTCTCCCACTAGATCTTAAATGTCTTGGGACACTATGCCTGACATATAGAAGATGCTCAAAAGGCCTGGATGAGTACGGCTGGAGACTCCTACGTGTTCTGCTCCTCGCCCCCCTCATTTTCCTCCTTACCAGGGGCAGTGTTTCCCTGCGTTACTGTAATTAGTAAGGACACTCAGTGGCTTTGTTCCAGAGGGATCAAAGCCTTTCTCAAGCTTAACCTCATTTTCTCCCATTGGTCTGGGAGAGGCAAATTGCTAGTTAGCCTAGGATGACTGTTCCCACTCCACAGATGAAAACAAGGGCCAGGACTAACTCTTGGGTGGAGCCAGCACCTGGTGGCAGCCTGCCAGGGCAGTATTTCTTCGTCATGGCTCTCTTGGTTGCTTGGGTTTCCCGGATGGAGTTTCCACCAAGAAGGAAAACAGCTGCCACTTCTACTTTTCCCAGTGTCTTCTGCTGTTGACGTCTACCTGTCTCTGTATAGGGTTACCAGGAACATAGGAGCTCTCAGAAGAAAAGAGGGTAGCCTGGGGCCTGGCTCTGTGGGAAACTAACGCAGAGTCTACACACCAAATTGTAGTCTTCCTCACTGAGGACCTTGTTTACGCCCCCTAACCTCCACATGAGTCATCTGCTTGATCCTCAATGGTCCTGAGCTAGGAGTCCCATGACTTAGCTCTGACCCTGTTCTCTTCACATCTCTAATGCCATGCTAAAAAGATTTCGTTTTGGGTTTGGTTTTTCAAGACAGGGCTTCTCTGTGTTGCTTTAGAGCCTGTTCTGGAACTAGCTCTTGTAGATCAGGCTGGCCTCGAACTCAGAGATCTGCCTGCCTCTGCCTTCCCAGTGCTGGGATTAAAGGTGTGCACCACCACCACCACCCGGCTAGGAAGGATTTCTTTACAGGAACTGCCTGAGACTGTGTATAAAATGGCCAAGAGAAGAACATCCAAAAGCAGATTCAGGATCATGAATCCCTTAAATTAAAATGTACAGAAAAGTATAATTCCTACCTAACAGATAGTAGGGTGTCCTGAAGTATTAATTACATGAGCATCTTTCGTGGGTACTCTAACCCCCGGTTCACAGAAAATGTTCGAAAATATTTGTTTGGATTACAGTGGTTGGTTTTTAGTTTTGCTTTGATTTTTTGAGACAGGGTTTCACTATGTGGCTCTGGCTGTCCTGGAATTCACTATCTAGACCAGTCTGACCTCGAACTGACAGAGATTTATCTCTTTCTGTCTCAGGAGTGCTGGGATTAAAGGCATGTGCTCCCAGGTCTGGCTGGAGAGGTGTTTCAAAATAAATGGCAGGGTTATGCTTCTCAAACCTTTCCTCCTGAGCTCAACTCTTAATTTCAAAAGCTCAGTAGGTTGCCTGGCCTTCACACCAATCTATCAACTCATAGAATGTGCTGAAGGTCTCCTGTGTCCCAGGAGTCACATCCTGACTGGTGGTATTTCAGACATGCTGTCACCATGACGGCAGCTTGGACTGGTCTCCTGCCATGCTCGGCACTGGTAGGACTTCTCAGCACGCGTGGGTGGTGTTGGAGGTGTTGGCAAGGGCCTTGGAACATAGCCGCAGCAAAGCAGCATTTAACCGAGAGCCATCCGACTGAGGGTGCCAGAGCCACGAGCTCTGGGATACATTCTGTTCCCACAGACGATGCACTGTCGCTGACTTAACTGTGCTTTGAGGTCAGCCAATCGTCAAGTCAGTGTGGAAGCAGGGACCTTTTTCTCTGCACGTCTGTGGCGAGGTCAGGGGAACACGGTCACACTGTAACAAGTGAATTTCACTCCGAGCTCAGATGTGTGTCTGTATTTGTACGTGCGGAATGTCTTTCACTCAAAGCATCCCGACCACGGAGCCTTGCTGTGGGACTTCACACTCGTGAGATGTGTGAATCTTGAGCCCTCTTTACTGACGAGTATTCATCAAGAGCTCACCTTGAGCCTGCATTTCCATCAGGGCGTATACAGCAAGCAGATGCCACGGGAGGTTCTGTGGAGGGGCGCTTATATTCGATGAGGCTGTTGAGAGAGGTGTGGGGTTGGAGCCACACAGGACGGAACAGTAACTTGTGGCTCAGAGGCAGCCATTGTGTTTTTTGCTCAAGCGCGCCCCCCTCCCCCAATCACAGAGGCCTCCTTGCATACTTGTGGGAGGCCCAGGGAGCAGTGACCTTTTCAGCTAAGGGACTTCTTTGCTTGTGTGTGTCGTTGTTGGGAAGAAATCAGAAGAAACATCACCTTTTGCTGACCTTTCTTTTCTTTCAGTTCTCGGGGTCCCCCACGGGTCAAATTCAACGGAAGCCCGGGAGCAGTGGGACACACAGTGCAGTTTCTTATGGGTCAGCTGCACCGGCAGAACCCAAGACCAGGAAGAAGCTGGAGTAGGTGGAGCTACCTAGGGCAGTGGATTCAAGATATGAAGATCAATGTTACACTGCACACTGGGCAGTGACTTAGATTTTGTGGGGGCTATTTTTTTTCTTATTTTTATTTTTTTTAGGATCCGCTTTAAGAAAACAACACAGGTCAGGTGTGGTGGCAGGCACTTTTAACTCAGCACCTGTGAGACTGAGGCAGGTGGATCACTGTGAGTTCCAGGTCGGATTGGTCTACAAAGTAAATTCCAGGATAGTTAGAGTTAGGGAGACCCTGTCTCAAAGAAAAAGAAAAGAAACAAACAACCTCACCCCAAATCTTAAACTGGTAAAACAATAGTAGAAACAATAACACCACCCAAACTCAAAGCCTTTCCCAGGGCTTCAGAAGACTCAGATCCAAACTGCAGCTTAGCCCGGTCTTTCCACCCTAGACGAAGGAGACAGGTGAAACAGAGCAAAGAAGACGGGCTTTGAAATCTGAAATAAGTCTCTTTGTCTATATGTTTAATAAATCAAGCTTCACTTATCTCTGGTAATATTTATTTAGGTTCTTACGGCTTAGAGAGCCACACTATCTGTTTAAGACAGTCATTGGGCTGTAAACCACATTTCCCAGAAGTCCTCGGGCTCAGAGACCCCCCCCCCCACTATCTCCGCTGCCCAAAGACTACAATTCCCAGCATGGAGCGAGAGTAAGGACCACAACTCCCGGCATGCTCTCAGAGGCGGCCGGGAAGCGCGCTTTTCTCTCGCCCCGCCTTTCCCGCCGCTCGCAGCCAATGGGAAGGCTCAGTACTGCACGGTGTGGCGGGGACAGCGCCGTAGACAGGTTGCGAGTCGAGGGAAGCGGCGGGAAGTTCGTACTACTCTGTGGACGACTGATTGGCAACTCTGGGTAGGGAGCTGGCGGGTGGCGGCGGGACGGTGGGTACGGCGTCAATTCAGAGCGGCGCCTGCTCGTTCAGGCCTCGGGCGGCGCCGTGGTTGAGTCGGGCCTGCCCGGGAACCCTCGCTTCTTAGCCTGCTCGCGGAGCTGCGGGAAGCCAGGTTCTTGAAGGATGCCCGAAACGGGGCGCGGGCCGGGGTGGCAGACAAGGGATGGCAGGGGCCTGGACCCGGATTGAGCCCGTCCCTCCCCTAGCAGCAGTGCGGCGAGGCCCTGAGGCGCGCCCTACGGGCCGCCAGCTTCTCACCTCCTTCCTGGCTTTGCACCTCTGGTCTCCATCGCAAGTGCTCTATTTCCCTGTCTTCAAAGGCAAAAGTTAGATTTCCTCCAGCGTCAAAGTTTATTTTAGACCGTTTCCAGCCCGAATAGCCTTAGGTGTAAAACTGCGCCAGTGTCTTTCGAGAGATGGGGAGAGTGACTGACACACTCTAGTCCTGTTGAGGTTACCCGGTTTTTTCTGTTGTCTTACTTTTAAAGTCAGCCATTCTTTATGTATGAATTCTTCCTTTCCCTCCCCTGCTCTTGGCAAAAGACGATTTTACCATTGGAAAGGTGGTGATTAAACTTAGGGGATCTTTGAAGATCTTCATTAATTTCTCTCTCTCTCTCTCTCTCTCTCTCTCTCTCTCTCTCTCTAACTGGAATTGCCCATCTGTTGAGTCTGGATTCAAAATAGTGAAAAAAAACATAATGTAGAACACTTATTTTTAAGAGTTCAGGAAGAAGGCATCTCACTTTTTGTGATATGCTAATCATATTGTTTGAGGAGACTTAACTTACAATTATGACAGGCATTAAATTTCTGATCAGTTAAGATAATGCTCATCTACCTGTAGAAAGAAATGCAAGTTGACATCACTTAATAATGGCTTTCCTTGTTGTGGCACAGATGGCAGTCACCGCGACTCAGCTTCGCTGATGGTGTCTGTGCTAACCAGGAACACGGGTTGAGTTGGATAACAAATATGTGTTAGGCATTAGTGATTCGGTGCAGCGCTAGTATCCAGTACAGATATCACTTTGATAGCTGTAATGGCTGCTGCTTATGCTTGGCATTGCAGAAATGATGAGAGTCTATTTGTTAAACAAATGAGATGATGGAGTTGATGTGTTAAGCAAGGAGCCTGGCATCTAATAAGTTATCGAGTGCCCAGGGAATGGTTATGTGGAAAGCTTATGCCGAGTCTCATTCAAGTATGCCTGTGTATATTTTAAAAATAACAGCAGTGCATTTAAAATGTTGACAAGCCCTAAAATTAAACTTGTTACAGGAAATAGGGCAGCTTCTCTTAACTCTGAGAACTAACGTCAAATAATAATAAAAAAATGAATGTCCCAGATGTCTAGAGAAGACAAAGATTTAAATTTTGACTTTTCCCCCCTTAAAGACCTCTCTAATAGATGTGCTATGAATAGGATTTGATCTGAAAAATAAAAACCTTAAAAGCGTTTTTGATTTGAAAGATAAACAGATTTGGAAGTGGAATTTACCTTGCATCAAATGTGGAAGGGTGACTCCTGAGTTTATGCAAACGAGCAAAGGCTCTCTCTCCAAGAATCAGGCTGTGAGCCAGCTGGGAATGTGAGAGTGAAGTGGGGCTGTCAGGGAAGCCGGTCCGGATGGGTCCCTAGTGGACTGGTAGCTGGGTGAGCTGAGAGCCTGTGTTTTAGGCCGGTAGGATATTTTTCATGCTTGTCAAGGTTCTGTTTGAGAGTGAGAGGACACAGACTGATTCCCTCACCTGAGACCAGACCACATAGCTACTGCTAAGCACAGACCTAGTCTATCATATTGTTTTGTTAAAGCGATAAGGAGGTGAGATGAGTTTAGAAGGGCGGTGTCTTCAGCAGCCTGAGCTCAGTGGGGCAACTTTTGGGCCATGTTTCCTTGACTGTGTTTGCAGTTGTCATTTAAAGCCGTAAGGATGGCCAGTGTCATTTAATCTCTCTGAGAATGGTGTCCAAGCCCCATGTTGCCGAGGTTGCTGCGTTGAAGTGACTTGGTGCACTTCCCGGATAGTCTTACTGCATTTCTAAATGTTGCCTGGGATTTTTGTGCTCAAACTCAAGCACATCATTCTTTTGGGTAGTGTATATGTAGTGCTTGATGGATTTTTATTAACTTAATTTTAGTTTTTTGAGAAGGCTCTTACTGTGTAGTCTAGGCTGCCCAAGAACTCACTGTGTATTTCAGCTTGGCTGGAACTCACAGCAATCTTCCTGGTTTACCGAAGTGTCCAGTTATGTGTATTGGTGGTGGTGGTGGTGGGGGTAGAGGGGAGTATGTGTGCCTCACCTGGTTAGGCAATGCTTTAAAAGAAACTCTTCAGAGCCTAGGGAGGTATGAGGTGTGTCTTGACCTCAGAGTAGGTATTAAATTTACCAACAAGTACTAACTAATGGCAAGGACACTTTATTGCCATTCTTAGTTGATGTTATGAATCATATTTAGGCTTCAGGTAAGGTAGTCTTGTGTTATTAAGTGACAGATGTTTGAAAATAGCATATTATCAGACTATGTGGCTATCTCAAGATGCTTATACAGATGAACTGTGTGGAAGGAACTGTAGCGGTGCTTAGAAGCCTTTAATCCCAGCTCCTGGGGAGGCAGAGGCAGGTAGATCACTGTGAATTCAAGGCCAGCACATTCTACATAGTTCCAGACCAGCTTGAGCTACAATACACTTGAGCTACAGTGAGACCCTGTCTTGAAATCAACAGCAAAAAGGTAAGCTTGTACAAGCTGACTGTGGACATCACAGAGTATGCTTATACAAATTTGCTGCAGACATCACAGTATACTTGTACAATTGACTGCCTCCAGTGTCACAGGTGACATCATTTTATGGGACTCCTCTGTGCTCAGCCATTGACTGACAGGCTGTTAGGTGACTGGTGACTGCATTTTGATGAGTCTGCATCAACTCCTGACTTTGTATGTGTGTCTGGTCCAAAGGATGGGAATCTGTGCTCTAGGATTCAAAAATTGAGATGGACATATTTTTAGAGTAGTACTATATGAGAATCAATATATATCAGTAAGTCACGTGCATTAAGAAGGAAGAGAGACTGAATGGAAGTCAGTAATTAAGTGGCAGAGTAATTAGTTGGAAATTTTCAAATGTTCTGCCATGTACTTTTAAAGCATCCATCACACTGACACTGGAAGGAAGTGCATCTCAGATAGTTCAGTATTAGGAATGGTTGCATGGAGTAAAAATGAGGGCCTTATAACTGCTGTCTGTGTGTCAGGTTTCTCTGAGTCAGCTGGCTGACTGCTGTTGATGGATGAGCAGCTTCATCTCTAGACTTAGCTTCTTGTTTTAAGAACCTCAGAGAGACTGCTTTATATAGCTGTCGATTTTACATAAGATTAAAAATAATTGAGTTTGAAGTCTTATAGCCAGGATAATGGCAACTTTACTTGAGGTTGCATTTCTCAAGTTAGTTTACCAAGTATGTGTTGAACAAGTCCCACCTTTTGGCATTCCTCTGTCTTGCTGCACTATGGACCTGTCTCAGAATGCTGAGTACTTACTTACTGTTTTTACTATAGATATCAGTGCTTCCCAAACCCCACGGTTTAGTGTTCCGTACGACAATGGCCATCAGTGTGCAGATTCTGTATAGTACAAGTTCTCTGCTGGAGGGAATGAGAAAAAGTCTTCTTAGACATCAGAAAAGTTTTTAAATTGTGTTTTGTAAAAGCTGAATTTGGGTTATAATGCTTAAGAGATTTAGCCTTGTTTTGTTTTTTGTTTTTTTTTTCCCCCAGTCTTGTAGAATATATTCAGAAGATTTAGCCTTTTTTTTTTCAGGTTTGTAGAATATATTTCAGAAGTAATGACTTAGAAATTTATCTTCTTAGAACTTGCTAGTGGGTCTGTAAAATGCATAGATACAGACACTCTGAAATTAATTTGTCAGTTTCTCAAATATCTATCTATCTATCTATCTATCTATCTATCTATCTATCTATCTATCTATCTATCTATCTATCTATCTATCTATCTA